TGCTAACAAAGTTTATTTTCTACTTAGTGTGTCAAATTGATATTTATAATACTATTTCATAGTATTTAAAAAAAATAAGACTCCATGGGCCCTATAAAAGCCAAGTGACCCACTATGTGAATAGATATGAGAATTGGTGAGGTGTTTTTTCCAGCAGATAATTTTTAGTGTCAGCAGCTTGGCTCTCTAGTGTGCTGGGACCCTGGCTGTGGGCTTCTGTGGAAACAGAGGACAAAGCAAGGCTAAGGCAGTTGTACTGCCCTGGTGAAGTGTGAGCCCACACTCCTCAAACAGGCCCACGTGGCACGGGAGAACAATGTTCGGCAGGCTTGGGCCTAGAGCAGGGAGGGCAAGAACAGCCTGATAAGAGCTTCTGTTGAAAAAGGCTTTAAAAGTTAGCTCTTAGCCTTTCCAAATAAGACAAAGACTCTCGCATGGCTCTGAGGTCTCTACAGAGGTGCTAAGAGTATCCTCTAACTTAATTGTATTACTCCCTTAATCATGTTACCACTTTCACGAGACAAGCATAAGACACTAATGCCAACTGGATTTCTAAAAACTATGCCCTCAAAGGCAATGGAATTGTTTTCCATTAGACACGAAGCTCATACTAGGGTGGGGCACATCTTTCAGAAACACCCAGAGTCTGTGCTTTAATTTTGTGTGGTCTCGGTGTTCGTTTTTGTTTTTATGATTAATTCTGTCATTGTCTAGAACCAACCTACAAAAGGGCTCCCACTGATTTTTATGTCCTTAATTCTCTAGAAATGGGAAGAATTTGATGAAAACTATGCGTCTCTTGAAAAGGACCTGGAGATTCTTGTATCTACATTGCCCTCTGTGAGTTTGGTGGAAGAGACAGAGGAAAGATTACTGGAAAGGATTTCATTTTACCAGGTATTTCACTTCCATTTAAGTTGTCCATAGCAATCTGTTTTATTTTGTGTTACTTTGACCAAGTTGCTTGATTTTGAAGGTGAGCGATTTGCATTGAAATGGAATATTGTTTATCACATAGCTCACTATTAGATGTATTCGGGGAGATTGCAGATGTGATTGTGAGCTCATCAGCGTGGCCACATCTGGCTTGAGGTTAAGGACCTTGGTTTGAGTCCTAGTTCCATCACTTACCACTTTTGTGAACTTTAATGACCTGTGTCTTTAAGCCTCAGTTTCTTTATCTGTAGAACGTAGATAATCAAGCCAGTGATACCTATCTCAGGAGGTGGATGTCAGTGGGCTACTGGTATAGAAATGAGCTGAAGAATGGAAAGAATTTTGTAAACCATAGGCCTGTAAACCGATACTTAGTTTTATTACTATAGTGAAACCCTGATTGGACATAGCCTACAAGACAGACAATAATCTGTTACCTGCCTCCAACATGAAAAAAAGACCTCAAACTTTTAAACTTTTTTTGTATGACTTTTAGTATTGTTTTTATTAGTCTCTGTGTCTATAGTTTTGATGCCGTAAAGTAAACCTTAAAATGGTGTTCAAGTGGCATTAAGAACATAACCAACAAGATAAAAACAAATGTTAAATCTTCACAATAGAAACTTAAAACACTTATTTTTGACTTCAAAATATATGTAGTCAGAATCTGAGTTGTGTGGGAAGAGGTAGTTATCAAATAATCAACTTTAAAACTTCAAAAGGAGGTTTATTGCCCAAATACACTGGATGGAAAATGAAAGCAGGAAATACTTGCAGAGCCCTGCTATTCCTTGGAGGCATGTTAGCACCTTTCTAGAGGCTGGAATACTGTATTATACTCTCTAGATGCCCAGAAAGCTGCAGTTGGTCTAGTTGCCACTTTATTATATTGAGCCTAACTCTAAGGTAACTCTGGGTCCTCTGGGGTGGGATGGGGGCTTCTGTTTAATTTTTTATTAATCTAGAGATACAGAAGGTACCATCTGAACAGCCAAAAGAATATAGTTGAGAACAGATAGGCCAGGTGTGGTGGCTCATGCCTGTATTCTAGCGCTCTGGAGGCCAAAGTAGGAGGATCACTTGAGATCAGGAGTTTGAGACCAGTCTCAGCAAGAGTGAGACTCCAATCTCTAACTAAAAATAGAACAAAATTAGCTGGGTGTTGTGGTTCACACCTGTCCCGACCCGCGGGGTAGTCAACGCGGACCCTGGAGGAGGGAG